AGTCGATGTGTGAGAGCTCGCATTGTCATGATGAAGAATGATTCGCCTGTTCTTCTGCTTTTTTCGAATTTCTCCGATGACTTCTGGCAAACAAATGGTCGTGTACCATTCAGAATCGACCATCCTGCGTTGCTCTAACGCCGCTGTTGCCACATGACCTTTAATGCTGAAAAAACTGGCAATCATTTGTTTCGATGTGCTTCTTCGTCGAACAACTTTTGTTGGTTTTGCCTCGTCTTGGAAGACCCATACAGTTGATTGCTGTTTTGTTTCCGGCTCATATGCATAGATTCATTATTCGTCACCTGTGTAGATGTTATACACAGCCTTTGATGTACCTTGAACGTATTTTTCCAACATTTCCTTGCACCAATCGACACGAGCCTTTTTTTGAGCGTTTGTCAGATTATGCGGGATCCAACGCGAACAAATTTTTTTTACGCTCAAATGTTCATGCAATATTTTATTGATGCTAGTCATACTAATGTCCAAAGACGCCTCTATCTCACGGTATGTCACATGACGATCTTGCTTTATCAGTTCACGCACAGCATCGATCTTTTCTGGCACAACAACGGCATTTTATGTAACATAATGGGATTCGTCCTGGATCGAACATCGACCACGATTAAATTCGTTATACCAATTTTTACAGAGTTGTAGGAAGGCGCTTTATCGCTGAATAAAGAATTAAGTTCATTGAAGAACTCTTGTCTTGACAATCCACGTCGAAAGTTATGAAAAATAATGGCACGAAAATGTTCACGATTCAGCTCCCTTTTTTGAAAGAGAAGAACTTTTCAATTTACTGTCAGCAACACAAATGAAACTATAATGGTAAATCGTCTGCTGAATTTATGTTTAAAAATATCAAACTTTCGATTAAAATCGTCTGCGGTCACCTAGCAACACTTACTGTTGCCAAGGCCAGAAATATAAATAGCAACCCTTGTAATTATCTCGGACGAAAGTTGAGAGAAGTTGAAAATGTCTGCTACGTTTTAGTCTCGATAGTTTTACTATTTCTAAAGTAAAAATTTGAAATCTTTCACGAGTTTTCATCACAGTAGTTTTACTATCTCTAACGACAAACTTAAAATCATCTTCTGCATTTTAGTCACAGAAGTCTCATTATCTCTAACGACAAAATTTTAAAGCATCTACTGCTTTTTAATCTCGGTAAACCTACTATTTCTACCGACAAAGTTTGAAATCTTCTGATACATTTTGGTCACAGTTTTGTAGAAAAGAAAAAAGTGCACCGAGCTATTGAAAATAATAAACTAATAATTCCAATGACTCCGATTTTTCTAGAATAAGGATTGATTTTCTCTCATTTTTTACAATTATATTTGGTCATTTTAATTAAAAGAAAATATTTTGTTCAAACATTACATTCATAATTTTAAAGCTTTTCATATAACAATTCATTTATGATTTTACCGTTCTTCATCATTATTTATACCGTTGAATGCTGAAACCAATTTTGAATGCTTCTTATACTTTTTTCAATGTGCATTTCATCTTGCAACGTATCACACTAGTATTGGTAAAA